TAATATATATATATATATATATATATATATATATATTTGCCGCGTGGGAGAGTCTTTTTCAAAGTAAAAAAAAATAAAACAAAAGAGAGAAAAGGAGTGCAGCTAGCCGCTCGTCCAAGTCTGTGTGTTCCTCAAAATCGAGTTAGTTTTACAGACTTTTCTCTTTTTTGAAGGAAGGAGAGGCGTCGGAGGTGTGTATGTGTGTGTGTGCGGGCGGTAGGGAGGAGGAGACACCAGCTTGTGGAAGCGGTCGACCTGCGAAACCCTCGACGGAGACGATTCCACCTCTCAACAACAACAAATACACTGAGGAACGAAAACGACACACACACACACACACACACACGTTGATGTTGACCGGGAAACCGGCAGCGTGATTTGAAGAATAATAAAACAAGAAAGATTTCGCCGTCCGTTTTGCGTGTTGCTGTTCTCCGTTTTCTGTAGGAGCTGCACAGCCACTTTATTTCCTTTTTTTATCATTATGATGAGAAGTCAGCGCTGCGAATAGATCCACTCAACGGCAATGCCGTGCGTCGTCGCGCCGTGGCCGGAACCACGACGGCAACAACAAAATCGCGTACAGAGACAGAAGAAACAGAAAAGATTGCTTTTTGCGCCCAGCAGCTCTCGCCTTCTGGAGCTCCTCCCCTCACCACCGCTTTCCTTCTTCTCTCACCGCACTTAAAGCACGAGGGCGGCCGCGACGCTCAGCACCACGGCGGCAAGGGAGCCGAGGGCGAGGACCGGCGCGCTCGCCGCGTTCGGTTTCGGTTTGGGTTGCGGACGCGCTTTGCAGGTGAGGTCCTCCGCCGTGCACACGTTTGCTGTGGCGCAGGTCGGCGCCACCAGTTGCGGCTGGTCGTTGCTCAGCTGCACGCGCATATACAGGCTGTTGGAGAACGCGGCGGGCATGCAGCCGCACAGCGGACAGCCGCTCGTGTTGAAGGAGACCATACCGAAGGTGGCCAGACTCTCCGGCACGGTGCCGTGCATCAGCGTGTTGCCGTTGAAGTGCATGTACTGCAGCGAGGGCATGCTGGTCTTGTCCCACGCCGGCAGGTTGCCGCAGGCCTTCGTGTTGGACACGTCGACGATGGCGAGGTTGGGCAGGTTGTTCCACGACTGCGGGATGGTGCCTTGCAGCGACGTGCCGAGCAGGTACAGCTCCTGCAGCTTGCGCAGCTGGCCGAAGTGCTCCGGGAACGTGCCGGTCAGCGCGTTCATGGCGAGGTTGATGCTGATCACGTTAACGTTAGCGGGGTTGAAGTCTTTCTTCTTGGGGTTCCATGTAGGGATCGTGCCGGTGAGGCCCAGTTTGGGGAACAGCATCGTCACCTGCTGCTTCACGGTGTCACACGAGATGCCCTCCCACTTGCACAGGTCGCTGCCGGACCACAGGTACTTCAACGGGTACTTCTTCGACCACAGCAACACGAAGTAGTGGGTGTCGGTGTCCATGATGGGGCCACTGGCGGCAGAGGCGGAGAGACCGAGCAGGCAGAGGAGCGCGACGACTGCGACGGCCACCAAACGGACGACATTGTGGAGCGGCATGACGGCGGCGGTTAGCGGAGGCGTGAGAGCTGTATTGGTGATGTAGGTAAAGAATGGGGTGAAAAGCTGCACACACTGCAACAACAACCGAAAGACGCTGCGGCGGAGGTAGAAGAAGCGGCGAAGTCGCGGGAGCGTTTATCTGGGGGTACAGAACCACCAGATCCACCGCATCGCATTAGCGGATGCATCGTTGTGTGCGAGAGAGAAGAAGGAAGAGGTGGGGGAGAGAAAGAGAAAGGAGGTACGTGGAAAGCACCCCGGAGAGGCGTTTAAAAGGACGTCCCCAAAGGCAGAAGAACCCGTGTAGGGCTACGATGCGCTGTTGGTTTCCGTTTTTTGAGCTTCGAGGATTCCGATATCGGCAAAAAAAAGCCTTCCTTCACACCCTAACAACACCAGCAAAAAGCGTTACCTATTCCTGATAATGATACAAACCTCGACCGGCGAGATACCGCTGAGGCACGTCAGCGAAGTACCCCGTGAAATGACCAGTACGGACTAGGAGAGGTGGCTCGGCAACCTCTGTGAAGGCAGCCGTGGTTCTCCGTTGAGGAATGATAATCATAAACAAAAGGTAATATAACATTTCCTGCTTTGGACAATTAAATCGACACCACCACGTTAGCAGACGTTGGCAACACCGCCCCACATACCAAGCGGTCGTCTGTCGTACTCGTTCACCGTTAAAAAATACAATAATAAATTAAATCACAACAGAAACACCCTACAAGCACGGGCGCGAGCACACACACACACACACACACACGTGCGCTCACTCCGCTCTCCGCACCTTTGCCTCTTTGCCTTTCTCTCTCCCTCCGTATATCTGTTCCTCTCTTGCCCTCCTTATAGCGGCAACGTCAGCAGCGCTCGCTGCTTTGCGACCAGCTCCGTCAGCGAGGGCAGCGTGCGCCTCGGCAGACCCAACGTGTGCCGCCGTGCGGCTTCCATCTTCGCCTGCCGCTCCAGCGTGTCCTCCAGCGTCTCCTTCGCTGCCGCAGAAAACGGCGTCGAGCGGGCGGCGGCCCCGCCACCACCGCCGCCGCTGCGTAGCAGCAGCTGGACGACGTCGCCATCCAGCACATGATGGCACTGAAACGACTGCGGTGGCAGCATCGTCGGCGGTGACAGCAGCGGCCGCATGTGAGCGTGCAGCAGCGGCTGCAGGTAGGCCGCCAAGGCGCCGTCCTCCTCGGTGACAAAGGGCAAGAAAGCCCCGACGCTGCCGAGGGCGGTGCTGTAATAGAGAATCTTCGTGGCCAGACTGGGGTCGGTGCCTTGCGAGGGGTCGTAGGGCTGCACACGCAGGGCGGTCACGAGCTGGCCCGTGTGGTGCCGCGCCACCTCCTGAAGCGACTGCTGCGTGCGCAGGTACGCCTCCTCGGCGATCAGCTCCGCTTCTTTTAACTGGCTGACCGGCTGCGCAAAGCGCGTGCGGGTGTCTTCGGGGATGCGCAGGAAGACGACGGTGCCGAAGCGGTCCGCCGCGGCGATGGTGCGCTCGTCGAGCACGGCGAGACTCGTGATAAACCGCGGTACACGGTCCGACATAATTTGCAGTAAAAACGAAGGCGTTGCGGCGCTCCCCCCGCCCGCACCGCCGCCGCCGCCCGGCTGCAGCGCCGCAATAAACACCGAGGCGTCTACCGTACCACAGACAATGAGCAGCTGCCTCTCCCGGGCCAGGCGTCGTGCTGTGTCGTCGCCGTACGGGCACTGGTAGAGATCTGTCGCGTCGAAGGACGTCATGTGCGCGTTGCCGTTGCGGCTCCCCGGCGGGGAGGCAAATACGTAATCGATGGCGTTGATGCGCTGGCCCGGTGTGTGGGCGAGGTGACGCCGCCGCAACAGCTGCTCCCTGCCCCACGAGTAGATGCGCAGCCCCTGCGCAGAGCCCATGCCGACAAGGAGCAGCCCAACCTCCTCGCACACGCACAACGCCGAGGCGTAGTCGGGACGAGCCTCCGCCGCAACGGCGTCGGCGTTCAGCGCAGGACGCGATGTCGCCCCTGTGTCGGCGGTGCCGTCGGGGCGAAGATAGGTGCTGTGTAGCAGCTCCAGCCGCAGCGGGCCTGCCACTGCGCTTTCGGCGGCACCGCCACCGTTTCCAGTGCTGCTCGCACCGCTGCTGCTGCTGCTGCAGCGAAAGGTGCGCAGGAACCCTTGCTTCCACGACGCCCCAGTACCGCAGCCCGCGCCGTGTGTGTACTGAGAGGCCGTCCCCACAATCACCACCGGTTCGCGGCCGAACTCTTTCAAGAAGCTGCCGACCACCACCGCGGTGATGACCTCGTGCGGTTCGAAGTAGATGGGCGGCAGCAGTCGCTGCGCCTCCTGGTGGTAGAGCTGCAAGACGCTGTTGTGCGTGTTCGCGCGCCCGAGGGAGCGCTGCGGGGCCGTGTACGGGATGCCGCCGTAGCGCGCCAGCGCCGCCTCCGGGCTCGTGGACGGTGCGGTGTCGCCGGAGGTGCGTGCATGCAGGAAGGCGAGGTCCTCCGCGCGGTGCTGCTCCACCTCCTGCCGTCCGTGACTGCGGTGCTCCACCCCGCACAGGATTAAGTAGGCGGACCGGGTCGGGTGCTGCAGCAGTCGCCGTCCCGCCAGCGGCAGCGGGTGATGGCGGAAGCTGTAGGCGACACCACCTGCGCCAGCACTACTCCTACTACCACCACCACTGCCGCCACCACCACCACCGGCTGACCCTGTGCTCGACACGTACAAGGCGAGCTCGCGGTTCTGCACAGCAATAACCACCTCCTGCTGCTGCTCACGCGGCGCCACGGTGATGCTGCCAACCTTCGCGGACAACTCCTCGCTCTCGGCCGCGCCGTCCTCCAGTGCCGCGAGGGCCGCTGCGGTGCTCGCCGGGGACCCGTCCGCGGTGGCGCCGACGGCGGTCGACGCGCTGTGGCTCGGCAGCACAAACCGAGCAAAGGAGGCGGGCCGCGTGGGGAAGCTGTAGGGCGTCATCCGCACCGCCCCTTCCTGCACCTCGCACCGCCACGTGCGATCGCCAGAGACGACGTAGCAGTACGTCTCGCCGTCGCCGGCGATGAGCTGACAGGGGTGGGCACCGCACCAGAGCTCCGCCGTGGCGGTAACCTTGGCCGAGGAGGCGTTCAGTTCGCACCGCGTGACCATGCCGTCGCTGTGCCCGACAAAAAGAAAGAGCCGCCGGCGAGCGCTGCTGCTGCCGTGTCCATTGCCGCCGCGTCCGCGATGCCCAGCGGACCGCGCCCGTCCCTTCGCCGCGGCGGCGGCCAGAGCTGCCATGGCGTTTCCACCGCTCTCCACGTCGCCGAGGTAGGTCAGCAGCAAGGAGGTGATGGACACCGCTGACGCGCCGGCTGCGCTGTCCTTCAGCAATCCGCGGCGACACACAATCTTCTCCAGCGGCTCCCGCAGCTTACGCGGGTGCACGACGTACACCTCTTGGTTCACCGTGGCGATGGCGGCGAGCTGCTCGGTCTGCGCAGCGGCGGCAGCAGCAGCAGCGGCGGCCGCAGCCGCAGCTGCACTGCTCGAAGAAGCGGAAGACGAAGACGCCCCTGCAGAGGCTGTGAACGACGAGTTCCACAGCAGCCCTTGCAGTTCCCGCTGCAGCGCTGCCGAGACGGCACTGGCGGGCGGTTGCAGCAGGGCCACCACCGGCGCCAGCGGAAACGTCGGTAGTACATCGCGCTGCTGCAGCTCCGTGCCGGCCAAACCGAAGTCAAAGCTGGCGATGCCTCCGCGCTGGTGAAACGATAAAAGAATCGTGGACGGCGTGACCGCCGCGGCGAGAACGGTGTTGCCGTGCGGATGTGTCCAGCTGGTCGGCACCACGCTGTTGTCCCCTCCTCCTGCTGACTGCTGCTGCCTCGATAGACTCCCGGTGGGGCTCAACACGTGAATTCCACGCGGCGTCACTTGCACATAACCGCAGCCGTGCTGCAGCGTCGTCGCGGCAATCGTGCGCTCTGCGGTGATGAAGTTCACGTGCGTGTCCTGCTCCACGGTGCGGCCGATTCTGTAAACGGTGGTGCCCTGGCGGGTGCAGAGCAACACCCGGTCCGTCCAGACCTGCTCGCGGGCCCCGCTGAGCGTCGCGGCAAGCTGCCGAAGCGCCTTCAGCCGCTGGGCCTGCTGACGAGCCGCACCACCACCGCTACCACGCAGTGCCTGCACGCCCTCCTGCGCCGATCGCGTGCGAACAGCGGTGGAGGCGGCCGTCTCAATCGCGGCCTGCTGCTGCCGGGCCAGCGCCTGCATCGACGCGGCGGAGGAGAGCGGGATGACAGCGGCGAAGACGGCCGGCAGCACGTGGCGCCCTTCCAACTTGGCCGCGTAGCCGTAGCGGGCCTGCACCAGCGCACTCTCCGCCCCACGACCGCCGACGTAGTTGAAGAAGATCTCCGGCTGCTCGCCGGAGGCAGGGAGGGCGGCGCTGCCGTCGTCGGGCATCGTCGTGAGGTGTGCACCGTCCTTGTCGGCGGAGGCGGAGGCAGAGGTGAGGTGGGGGAGAAAGCACGTAATCGCCGGTGTGTTGGGGAGGCTCTGCAGCTGCGCAACGTGTTGCGGACGCCGGTGCGGCTGGAAGACCTTGATAACGCGTGTCTCTACCGCGGTGTGAACGGATGCCGGCGCGGCACTTGGCGGAGGCATCGTCGTGTTGTTCTTGGTGCTGCTCGACTGCGCGGTCTCGCCGTCAGTTGAGGGTTCCTGCTTCACTCGCGGAAGTGGTGGGAGCATCGCGGAGGAGGAAGAGGACGCTACAGCTGTGGGGTCTGCCGGCTCGGACTTCACAGCCGAGGCATTCGCCGCCTCCTCGCGTGGGCGCTTGTGATCGCTGCTGGCCGTCCCCGCGGAGACGTCCTTCTCCCCTTCCGGCTTCACCTCTTCAGCTTTCGAGGCCGCCGCCGCCGCTGCGACGGGCACCACCCGTCCCCGTCGAACGCGCTTCACGACGTACTCGCGGTCATTTGTGTAGCCGTTGCTCTTGATCTTGTACAGCTCATGCAGCGCGCCGGCCTCGCTGCCGAGGAAGAGAAACCCGCGGCGGAAGAGCGCCATCGCGGAGGACGGGGGCAGCGTGTCAAAGTAATGCACGGCGAGTGGATTAGGCACGGGGGGCAGCGCCCCGCCGTTCGTGTGCAGCATATCAGGGTTCGCCTGCAGCAGCTCACGCGTGCGCAGGGCATCGTACGCGCGCTGTACGTTGCCGGTCTCCAAGAAGACGCGATACACATCGCCCTGTTCATCTTGCAGTAGTAAGAAAAAGCGATGGCCAAAGCAGGTGAGCGTGTGCTGGATGACAGAAGGGTCGTAGAGCAGCTCCGCGCAATCCATGCGACGAGGAAATGGGTAGGTGCACTTGAAGACGCCGGCTCGTGCGGGGATCGCGCCGCCGCCTCCCTGTTGCTGCTGCTGCTGGGATGCAGACACGTCATACCAGATCAACTCCGTGTCAGTGCAGACGAGGACGCCACCGGGGCCGTAGGGGGCGGCAGGCACGGCGATGAGTCGATGCGCCGTCGCCGGCACATGCACGAGCTGCGTCCGCTGCACCTGCTTCAAACTCGCTACGTAGGCATAGAGCACGAAGTGCTTGTGGTGCGGCAGTGAACGCGCACCGCCGTCGGGTGGCGCAGAGGGGGCCTGTTTGAGAAACGTGCCACCTCCCACACCTGCACCTGCCGCTGCTGCGATTGTGGGACTCCCCCCCTCCCGCGCCTCCACCACCTCCTCTTCTAACACCGCAAAGACGGCCTGGTCCAGGTAACCGTCCAACGCACAGGCCGAGTACAGCACCGTCTGCCGCTGCACCTCAATCGGGGCCCCAAGCTGGAGGGCGCCGTTCGCGCGGCGGGCGTTCGCGGCGCGTCGACGTCGCGCTGCCCGTCGCTCGCGCGCCGACTGCGGACCCCGCCGCTCGCCCTCCGCACCGTCGGCCTCCTCGTCCTCCGCCTCGCTCCCGCTGCCCCCCTCGTCGTCGCCCTCCCCATCGCTGTCCGCCCCGTCCTGGCCGGCGTTGGTGCCCGTCACGGCATCCCAGCTCTCGTTCCGCACCAAGGGCACCAGCACCTTCGAGCGCATGAGGGCTATGATGAAGAGCGCGGTCCCGGCCGGGTCGACCACCATGCGTGCGCCGGGCACCGTCAGGCGAGCGCCGCTGCGGCCGAGGCACGCCTCACTCACCTTCACAAAGGCGCCACGCAGCGAGGTGGCCACAAGCAGCGTGGCACCATTACCCCCACCACCGCCGTTGCGCTCCTCGTCCTCCACGTCTGCCCCCTCCCCGCCGTAAAACAACCGTGTCGGGACGGGCGGTTCGGCCAGCTCGTAGCGCAGCAGCGTCACGTAGCCCGTTTCGCTCGTCAGCGCAAGGTAGTGCACCCCGCTTCGATGCGTGGTAGTGCTAGCGTCATCTAAGCCGCTGCTCTGAATCGACGCGTGACTGCTGTGCGATTTCGCCATGGCCGACGCGCTCGTCGGGACGGCGACGGCGGCGTACACGGCGGACAACAACGGCGTGCGACAGATGCATTCGATGCCGCCGTTGACGTCCTCTGCGTAGAGGCGCCACAGCTCCAGCACGTTGTGCCGCACGAGCACGAGGTCGTGCGCATCCGGCATGGTGAAGGAGCCCTCGATGGCGTGCGTGACGTTCTGCGTGGGGATGAGGGTCTGGTGGTAGAGCAGCGTGTCATTGCCGGCGGTGTTGGTGGTGGCCGCGGTGGCGGCGCCGCCATCGGCTGCGGCTGCGTCGGGCGCCGGGCTGCTGCTCATTGCCGTGATAGCGCTCCTCTTGTGTGATCCTTCTCTAGTGGGTGTTTTTTTGTTTGTTTATACCTATATTTTTATATATATATCGGTTTTCCAAGACGACGACGTCGCAACCTCCTCGGACTGATGTCTCGCTCAGAGGAGAGAATTTTTCAATAGGAAGAAGTACTCCTTCTTGCTAGTATCTGTTATTGCTATCGTCTGCACCGCAGGTAGAAGGTGCGACGCCGCAACGAACCAACTCCGCCCCCCTTCTCTCTCCCCACAACAACAACAAAGCAGGAGTAAGAGCGGAAAGGCGTCTTCTAAGCCGCAGGGCCGTTGAAAGCCGCGAGGAGATGACGACACGTTAATTAGCGTTACAGTCAACGAGAACAGCAAATCAAAAAAAAAATAATTGACGGCTCTAATGTGAAACCAAAGCGCTCACGTCCTTCTCAAGTGGTGAACTGCAGAGTTGACGGTGGAGGCACACATCACGCGGGTTGAGGTCGCCACAAACATTTGTGCAGGAAGAAAGAAAGAGAACACATGCGGAGGAGCAGAAATGATAACTGTACGTCATAGAGAAGCAACAAAGAGCTTACATGAAAACGCGCGCGTGTGCGTGTGTGTGTGTGTGTGTGTGTGTGTGTGTGTGAGGACTACTTGAAAACCGTTGAGGGCGAGAGCGAGCGAGAGGCACGCAGATATTCAAAGGCGCAGCTTTCATTACGTTGCGGTACGCCTTCCCACGAGTGCCTGGTTGCTGCACTGGTACGTAGCACCACCTGTCCAACGGACAGCTCACACGATCAGCGTGGTGCTCCGCCGCAAGAAGAAATGCAGTCACCTCCCCCTAGAAAAAAAAAGCTTAAGCTGCCAAAACATCGGCAAAGCGCAGACAGGGAATGCCGTCTTCGCGACGTCCACACGCCGCATTGCAGTCGTTCTTTCTTTCTTTGGCACAGTTCCTTTTTTTTTCCTTTTTAAAAAGAATAATGTAAATCAATTTGATGAAATGGGAGAAAAAAACCCCTTTCAGAGCACATTCATGTGACGTCAACGCACCCACCAACAGCCAGCAAATACAAACAGACGGCAAATATATATATATATATGAGCAAAAAAGAATCAACCTCATCAGCGATCGGCAAGACAAGAGGAGCACCACAGCCACGAATGCTGTTACCCCCCCCCCCCCCGGCCTCTCTTCCCTCCGCCACTCACACACACACACGCGGCGAGACGAGACAGCATACAAACAAACAAAAATCAAGTCGACAAAAGAAAGAAGTCGTCGAACAGCGCTACGTGTGAAAAGTAAAGAAAAAAAAACGGAAGCGAAAGGCATAAGAAAACCTCCGCCCACTGTGCAGTCTACGAAACGCACCAACACCACCAACAGCACCACCAACACCAAACTCACGTTTAATGGGAATCAATCGAAGCAATCAGAACTTCCACGATTTAAAAGAGAAAAAAGAAGGAGAAGGAGAGAGGAGCAGTTGCCGCTTAACTAGACTTCGAGACCACCGTCGGCCGCTTCAGCATCGCCAGCGCATCTTGGCGGATCTCCTTCTCCGTCATGGCGGTGCCCACCGCGGCATCCACAACACCGCCTTCTGCAGCCGCGTCAGCGCCGCTTTCCGCGTTCGTCTGCACCTTCGCCAGCCGCTTCCGTTGCGAGGCGAGCACCGGCGTGGGGATATCCCACGTCTCCGTTCCAATCACCCGCATCGTGTACCAGAAGAGCGCAATCGCCAGCGCGCCGAGCGACAGACCGATGTAGTTCGCGTATCGCCGCTCATCACCGTAGAGCCAGTCGCGATACATACCCGTTTCGTCGAAGGTACCCTCGCCCTGCGTCTCGCGAAGGCGGTAGTCCTGCCCACCGGCGACGTTCGTCACCAGGTTGGCGTTCTTCCACCGCACGGAGTTGTGCAGCTTGTGCGTGGTTTTGTATACGGGGAGGCTGTGCGCCACGGGGGGCCCTTTGCGGGCGCTCCGCTCGCCCGGCTTGAGATCGAGCGGACCTTCGAAGAGCTCCTTCCGGAAGCCGCGGACGGGCGTCTGCACGATCGCCGCAACAACGGCCGAGGAGGACGGCGCCGTGCTGCCAACGATGGCCACCGTCAGCTGTGCCACACGCACTCGCTGCATCGTTCTGATTTCTTTATTCTCCTTTTTTTTTGGGAAATGCTCACGATGATGATGATGATGATGATGATGTGGTGTGTAATTGATTTCCCTGTTTGCTCTCAATGCTGAGGACACCGTGAAGACGAGTGGCAGGAAGGCACGGTGGGCAAATCTCCATCGACAGCCGTCGCATGGCAAAGAGGACAACAGCGAAGGAGATGAAAAAGCGCAGAGAAGGGGGAGAGAGAGACGTGGGAGAGTCGAAGTCTCGCTGAGGAGCGCACGCGAGCAGACGCGTGACACGCACACGCCGCAGTTCAGGAACGTGCGTGTGTGTGTGTGTAGAAGTGACGAGGGGCAACCTTAGTCTAGGCGGTGTCAGGCAATCCCCTCTGCTCCACCCACTGTGGCACATTTTGGAAACGAGAGAGGGAGGGAAAGCGACGATTTGGACTTGAAAGCAGCGTCGGCGAAGGCGGCCCCAGCCTCAACTTTTTTTCTGTTTTCCTCGTTTACCTCCTCCTTCGTTGACTTGGCGTGTGTTGAAAGCGGACGCATTGGAAAAACCAAAACCACACGTAAGTGTAGAACAATAAAACGAAGAAGCTACGGTACGAACGTTGATGAGTGACGTCTTGCCACATTACGGCATCAACAACAACAACACACACATAGATACACATGGACATATATATCTGCATTCTAAGAACTATCGTGGAAGCCAACCCTCCCCTCCCCCCGATAATATTTATATCCCCCACGACGAGTCACGAGTGGAACTGCTTTTCAGCTATTTTCCCTAGCCTTCCGCCCACGCCGTACGCAGGACGACGAGGTGCGGGTTGACGCCGACGGCGGCGAAGACGGCGCGTGCGAAGGCGCGGGAAGGGACAAGGGCGTCCGATACACCAGCGAGCCACCCTCCCCAACGAACACCTCACTGCGGCGACGACGCACTACCCGGCGCACCACCACCGTCTTGTGCAGCTGCGGCGACTTCCGGGCGGAGGGCCGCTGCATTGACGGAGACGGGAATGAGGAGGAGAAGGAAGAGGATGCGGAAGAAGTCGCCGGAACGCCGTCCTGGGGGGCGGCGGACGCGTTGCGAGCGGAAGAGAACGTTGGCGAGCTCGCAGAGGATGCTGGGGACGTGGTCGTTGATCTGGATCTGGAGGAGGAGGAGGAGGCGGAGGCGGAGTTGGAAGCGGATGGAGACACCAGCTGCGCCATGACGCGTCGCCGAGCAGACTTGCGCGTATTTTGATATTGTCCTTCCTCTTTTCCCTTCCTCTGAGATCGCCGATGGTGCGAGCGCTGCGACTTGTGAGATTTGTGAGGCCTGCCCGAGGTGGTGGAGGGGGGCGAGGACTGCCGTAGACGTAGTGGGGGCACCTGGGTGGGGGCGACGGGGTCGGGACACCGAACACTGTCCCCGTCCCTGTTGCGGAGGTCGTTGCTGCTGTTGCTGGGACTGCGACGGCGGTGGTGCTGGTGGTGGCGATGGTGGCTGCGGTGACGGGAGGGATGCGAATTCGACCGTGGCGAAGCCGGGCCTTCTTCCTCACGTATTGCTTTTGGTTGACGCGCTGTGTGCGAGCGCTGGGGTGCCGGCGGGGCAGGAGAAGGCTGCGGCGACGCCGCGACGGGCGGGGGTCGGTAGGGCTGATGCGGATGCTGCTGTGACCGCTTCCTCGCTGCGGTACCGTGCGACGGCTGCGGCGTCCGGTTGGAAGCTGAGTTCGGCAGCTCTACTTCACGATTCACCGCGGCCGACAGCGCCGTGCTGCTCTCCGGTGCGGAGGGGTGATGCGGCGGGGCCTGGACGGTGGATGCGTCCGTCTCCGATAGGAGCGACAGAGGGTGTGGGTCTGCGTGGACGGGCACACCCACTGCTGCTGGAGGCACTTGCACCAACGACGGCACAGGTGGTGTGTCTGCCGTCAGGGAAGGCTTGCGTGGGAGAGGGCTGTCTTGCAACGAGGCGTTCTCGTTCTTCCTCTTATCGGCGTGAAGGCCGGGAGGAGCCGCTTTGTCGTCCCCGGCTAGTTCTCTTACCTTCGCGCTTGCAGAGGGTGACCGCTCAGCGCTTCGGCCGCTCTGCTTCGGATGACGCCCACCACCGTGATGTGCCGCCGCGGCTTCTGCCATGCTATTGGCGAGGGCCGCCGCGGCTGCTGACGCTGCCAACGAGCGCGGTGACTGCAGCGCCCCTTTCTTATGGTGCAGATGGGAGTTCGCAGCGCGTGTTAGTGACGGCGGTGACTGTGGTGGAGGAAGCGGATGGCGCCCCAGATCGGTAGGGTGGTGTGGCGGATCTCGAAGCGACGACGAGCCGATGGAGAAGGAGCGCGCAGCGGACGGGGTCGGCGAGAAGGAGGGGCGCACCAACACCGCTGCCGGCGGTGACGAAGCGAGTTCGTTGCTCGCTGCCCCACGTGGAGCCGCGTCCGTTGCTGTTGCTGCTGCTGCGGCGGCGGAAGGCTCGTGAACATCAGCAGCGCCGGGTGCGGGTGGCGCAACAGCCGGCTGCTGCCGCCGTGGCTGCTGCGGCGAAGAGGAAGGAGACCCCGAGGTTACCTTGACTTCCAGTGAGCTCGGTGACACTTCTGAAGTGTCATGTAACGGTGCCGCGGCCGGCTCATTCGGGAACGTCGCGGTGCTGCGCAGTGGTGCGACGGCGGAGCTGGAAGTCGACGAGTTCAAAGATGACGTGGACGGCAGCGAAGGTCGCTTGTCCGTCTTCCACGCAGACACCTTCGGCTGACTCGCTTTCACGGCAGTGTCGCGTACCACGCTGGCAAAGTGCGGTGTGCTCGTCCGCAAAAACTGTTCTCCTGAAGCTGCTGCTAATGGTGGTGGTGTCTGCGTGTCTGCGTGATATACCTTTTGACTCGACGCCGTCTCGCACGGGGGTGTAGCGGTGCCGTCCGGGTTGCTGCTGTCTTCGGGGTGGAGAAAAGATGATGTCAACAGTGGGTGGGCTGCGGAACTGCGCTGCTGTGTAGAGGCCGGTGGTTGGTGTTGCTGATGCAAAGGTTTTCGCGTGTTTCGACCCTCGGGTCCTCGCCGCGCTGCGGAGTTGGAGCGCGAAGGCACAGTCGTAGCGGCAACAGCGGCGTGGAGGTCGAGGGCGGTTGATGCTACTGATGCTGCTTTGCGTGGCGACAGGCTTGTTGCGGAGGCGGTGCTCAACGAAGGGACGATGGGCGCCCCTCGATCGCTAAAGCGCTGCCGCGGCGTGCGTTGCGCCGCCGGGGATGCTGTGAGCTGCAGCGAGGGAGTGCCGCGCGCCCCCGCCACATCTCCCCCCGGGCTGCTGCTGCCGCTGTTGTCGATCGGGCTTTGCACGCCTGCGCCGCTGGCTTCCGGCGGGCTGCCTTTGTTGTTGCTATGATTCTTGTGGCGGCGGTGCTGGTCGTCGTCGTGGTGGCGGCGCCGCTTCGCTGAAGCGTTTCCGTGCGTTGTCGCGGGTGATGCCACCGTGTCCCACGCCAACGGCGCCAGGTCCGTCGTCGTCGTCGTCTGCAGGGCGGCGGACGGAGCAGAAGACGGCGGGGTGGAAACGAACGTGGGCGACGGCGACGGGGCAATCGTGCTGGCGTTGTGGGTGATGTCCACGGGGGTCAGTCGCTGCTGGCGGGCGGGGTTTTGCTGCTGCAGCTGCGGTGGCGGTGCCTCTCTGCGAGGAGACGACGACGACGACAGGGGAGGGCGCCGCTACGCTCAGCCGAGGCAGCGCGCCCCGCGGAGCCGCCACCGGTTTTTGATGCCGGCGAATCGCGTCCTCCAGCTCCGTCTGGCGGGCCACCGCCGCGCGCACCGCTGCCGATAGAACGTGACTTCCTTCGACAACGGAGAGGTAGGAGGTGCTGACGCCGGTGCTCGTGGGGTTCGACAAGTTTATCATCTGCGCCGGCTGAGGATCAGAAGGGGTGCGTGGCTGCTTCGTCGGGGCCGACACGTCCTGGCGGTGTCGCGCACGGCTCGACGACGCGTAGCCCTGAACACCACCGCTGCCGCTTTTGAGTTTTTCCTCGCTGAAGAGATGCGGAGGTGGCGCAGAAGAAACCTGTGGCGCGAAGGTGATCAAGGCTGGTGTGTCGGGCTGCGGGGAGTAGGTGCTGGTCGAGACCGCTGCGGTAGATGCTGCCGCAGCGGAGAGTTGGGGAGAGGTAGGGCTCCATGACACAGAGGGGTGCCCACCGTCCTCCTCTTGATGCCTGTGCGTCGACTGCGTAGGCAACGGCTTCCGCTTCCGCTTGCGCCGGCCCTGCAGTTCTGGCAGGCGGGTCTGTTGACGCATTTCGTCTTCGGTCAGCATCGCCGCGCCGGCCGGCTCCTCGGGGAGGTCCCCGTCCTGAACGGCGCACCGGTCAATGAAAGGGCTTTCGTAGTCGTCCGCATTGGGGAGTTGCACGGCGGGCGGCCCGGCCGTTTCGCCTCCTTCGTCTTCTGCGCTCGACCTAACCGGGAACGCAGGCTCCTCTTCGTAGGCGACAAGCCGATCGAGCAGCGCCTGCCGCAGAAGCTTCCATCGCAGCTCCAGCTCCTGCAGGGCACGCGCACGCGACGCGCACACCACCTCCGGCGTCGGCCGCAGCAGCACGATGGAGTGACTCTGGCTGACCGGACCGGCGAGAATGTCGTAGGCGGACAGCGGGGCTGAGGAGAGGGTGTTGCGACGTAAGACGGCGGTGACGGGCTCGTCGACCGCCGTGGCGATAGTGGTGGTGGTGCTGCGTGGCAGAGACGTAGCGGGCTGGAAGGCGTAGTTCAAGTCGGATAAGACGGACGGAAGGGTGGAGGGCAGCAGTAAAGGACATTTGGTATCGTTGTCTGCTGCAGCTGCTTCTGCTGATTCCCCGCTCGGCCACCGCGGCGCCGCTTGCGGAGGGGGAGGACGGTGCGCCGAGGAGCCGGCAGACTCGCCGTCGTGGCCTGCGCCGTCGCCGCCACCTTCGTTCCACTTGACAACGGGGGCTATCGACAAGCCAAAGCCTTCGCTGGTTTCGTCAATGGCGTAGACGACGTCCACAACGAGCTGCATCGGACTTGTCAGCGCTAACGCCAACACCACGTCGAAGCGCTCGTACTGCTGCAAAAGCCCCAACCCCTGGAAATCATCACGCAAGCACGCGGCGCCGGTAAAGACGGCTCGAGTGTTTGTGATGTGTGCTGGCCAATACAGCGCGCGCCCATTGGCGTCCTCTGACAGCGCCACCAGCGGCGCATCGCCAAGGATGTTGCTGTGCATGCTGTTTGACACGGACGTGTTGGCGAGCGCGGAGGAGGCGAGCGAAGTCTGCGCGGCCTGATCACCAGCAGGTTTGCCGTGTCGAGTGCTGATGGTGTCCTGGTTGCAGTTGCTGCCGCTGCTGCTGCTGCTCTGCTGCTGCAGCTTCTGCACGTGCGCGTTCCACTGCTCACGCTTGCGCGCTTCAATGTTGATCGAGCGGAGTACCGCGCTCACCTTCGGAGAGGCGGACTTCCCCGGCGGCCAACGCGCTAAGATGCGCTGCAGTGGCCTTAGCAGCTGTTGAGACGGCAACGGCGCTGCGCCTGCAGCAGTCAATGGAGCTGAAGAGACACTGGAGGTGGACGACGACGCCCACACCGGCAGCGGCGTCGTCGTTGGCGTCGTCGCCGGAGCAGGAGCAGGAGGAGAAAGGGAAGGGGTAACCACGGCTGACTGGGTTGCTGCTGTTGCGGTGGACACCGACAAGGCCGAGGGCAGTTGAAGCGCTTCACGTAGGATGTGCACCGGACAGCGTCGGCGACTGAAGTCCGTCATCGCGTTCGATGACGGTGATCCCCCTGCCCGTCCTGCGTGTGCGTGATGGTGCTGGCAGTCCGTCACGTCCGCAGCGTTGCCGTTCGTCGTGCCATGGTGGAAGACTGCGGTGGAGGCGGCGGCCGAGGCAGACGGAGAGGTGTCCGCCATGAAGGCGGTGTCGGCGTAGTAGGCGGCAGGAATCGTACCGGCTGGTATGGCCCACAGCGGCGGGTACGCTCGCCGGATCGTGTCGGCGACGGAGAAGGGCGAACGCAATGCATGAAGATCATCATTAAGAAAGGAGCTGCATGTATCTGACGACGCTGCTGCGGTGGCGCTTGTGTCCTGCAGTGGTGGAGGTGTACTGTGGCTCGACGCGGCGGCCAAGGCGGCGACGGCGCTGCGCAGCTTGGGGTACCACCGTGTCCACGCATGCAGCACCTCACGGCTGTACGCGAGCTCCTGGGTTGGGCCAAATGGTTCGTCCGCCTCGGCGAGGTCGGCGTCGCGGTCGCGCTGCAGTCGCCGCTGCTGCTGCTTGGCCTGCCGACGCCGTTGCAGCTCTTGGAGGCTGGTTTGGAGGGCATCCGAGTCGTCGGCGCTTGTGGCGATGTCGCGGATCGATAGCATAATGCGATGATGCTTTGCGTTCTAGGTGACGGAGGAAACAAGCCTTCTTTCTCCGCCTCTTCTCTCTCTCCTGCTCCCTTACTTTTCTTTCGTATTACTAATATTACTACTGTTGTTCTACGTGGCAGTGATGCAAGAACAAATCGAAGGTAAGTGGTCGAGAGGGAGAAGGAAAACCCATGTATATCTTAGATGTGCATACATATATATATATATATATCTACAAGTAAGTGTAGCGACAACTCAGCGTACCAGCGAAGTCGCCTGATTCCTCTCTTACTACCCTTAAAACAAAAAGCGGTAGAGTCACAACAACATCAACGGTAACAGTAGAGCAACAGGAAGACACACACACACACACACGCAGAGATGAGGTATGACGTGGAAGTGAAGAGGAACGCGAGAGAGGGGGGTGGAGGGGAAGGGAAGGAGAGGAGGGTGCACCACTATCATAGGGATGACAAACGTTTAACGGAGCGCAGCGCAAGACGGTCCCGGAGGAACCATACCCATACCCATATCCAGACGCACGCACACACACACACAGACGACTTCAGTCTCGTGCTCGAAAAAGGAGAACCATGGAGGTTTCAATGTCTTCTCTCTTCTCTCTTACATTTGTTTACAACGTGTGAGAGACGAAAACGAAAACAACAACAACAACAACATCACCAGACAAGCACCAAACATGCCCCGCAGGTCGCACAGCACACACCGAGGCAAACCGCAGACAACGCACGGGGTAGGGCGCACCTCGCCCCATCAAGCACACACACGAGATCCGCCATTGTCCGCCGCTCCCGCCCTGCAAACTCGTACTCCTGGAGATAAATGCGCTATATATAACCCCTCGTCCTTCTTCCGTTGTTTTCAAGAAGGAAAAACAAAAATTAGCCCTCCGTGCGAGAGGGCTGATGAGGCGGCACCGAGTCCCACGACTCCGGGTAGCGCGGACGAAGGCGGTTCCCGTACTCGTCCGAGAAGGCCGGACCCGGCGCTGCTGAGTTGCGCAGCATCGGTCCTGCTGCAGCCGTAAACTGCAGTTGCGATCGCAGCTCCTGCAGCCGTGCTGGGGACAGCGCCTGCCGTGGCCGGTGCAGCTGCTCCTGCACGCCGAATGCGCTGCTCTGACGCGTTGACGGCTCCTGCACCGCGCTGTCGCTGACACGCGGCGCCGTGTACGCGGCCGGCTGGGAGTAGCCCTTGATGCGGTAGTACGGCTCACGCAGCACGGCCTCGTTCATTTCGACGGTGTCCCGCTTCAGCCACTGCGCTTTGCGAGCCCAAGTGGGGAGCGGGTGCAGCAGCTCTCGCCAGGCGGTGCGGTAGCGGTGGAGGCCGCCGGTGCGCTGCAGCATTACAATGAGATAATAAAGGAAGCTAAGAGCAACAACTGACAGAAGCAGCAATGAAGAAATGCGCTTACGCGTATTGCGCGAGGAGCGACAAGGCTGTCGACCGGCTTCTGCGGTTCAGAGCAGGAGGGGGATAGTGCGGTATACGAAGAGAAGAAAGGTTGGTGCGAGAGGAGGTCAGATTATTATTAGTATTATTATTATTATTATTATTAAGTGGTCATGGTCTTTCTTTCACTTGTGCGAGACACACACAGGAATTACATTGCAAGCTCGTACTGGAGCACTACTTCGTTTCATGAACAAGACGTGGAAACAAGGCTCGTAAGTTATATAAACACACTCGACACTGATGGGCGAGGGACACACATACGCACACCGCGCTAAAGCTGTGCATTCTTCCTTTCCTTCCCTCGGACCCCGTCTTAGGGCGGCTGACAACGCGGCTGATTTCGCTGCCCTGTAGGAAACACAACGGAAGACACCACTTGAAAGTACATTAGGCAAATCCTGGGCGCCTTCAACACGCTAACATGCACACACACACACACACACACACACATGCAGCACCCCGTGGACGCTGCCACGACCCGGTCGTGGCAATCACACGCATTCCCACAGATGCACACACACACACACACGGTGGATAAGGAGTGAAGGAAAAGCACAGGAGGACAAGAGTAAAAGAAGAAGGCAAATGATAACCATCAACAACGACGGCAACGCTTGCAAAAATGTGAAATACAGCGCATTAGACATCAAGGGGAGGGAAAATACAGTAAAAAGAAACCAAATTGGAGTCCGTCAAGAGGAGGCAGAAACCGTACATTGAATCACGTAGTACAAAGCGTACATCTCTGTATACCCTCCCCCCGCACATACACACACACACACACACAAGGTAATACTCGCAATGAAAGAGAATGTGCCGAAGGCTTGAGCGTCAACATATGCAGCGGCGGCTGTTACAACAACTGTCGCGAGAGAGAAAGAGAGAACGACAGAAAGAAGGCGTTTTAGATTATTTCGCGAGAAGGCAAAAAACAGAAAACCCCAGAAAAGTGAGGAGGAAGAAAGAAAGGAGAACTCTAAAAAAAGAAATCTAATGAGCACAACCACAATGACAAAGGAAAATAAATCAACGAAACAAAGAAGGCGTGGGACAGAAACGCCGCCCCTTGACCGAGGAGATACGGCCTCCTCAGCTCTTTCCTTTCCTTTCCTTTCTTTTTTTGCTTTTCTGGTCTAGCGGCGAATCGGACGGATGCCTTTCGGCTTCGCCACCGTTGTCGCGCACTTCGGAATGTGTCGGGCCGCGACATCCTCCGCAAACTTCCGTCCGCAGTGCGGGCACGGCACGCGGTCGTCGTACTCCTCCGGAAGCGGTGCCGGTGGCGGTGCAAACCCTCCACCGCCACCACCGCCCTGAGGCTGCCCCCGTACCGCACGCATCGCGGCTTGAAACTGCTCGTGCTGCACCTTCCACTTGGGGAGTTTGCCTTTAACGGCATCACTGCCCGCACCACCACCACCAACACGACCACCACCGGCAGCGACACCAGCACCACCACCTCGCGCATTACGCGGAGCCACGCGCTGTACCTCCTTAATCCCCTCCACCCCATCTAAACGCTGATCGCGCATGTTGAACACCTTTCGTGGTTTGTTCGCCTGCTTGCGGCACAGCGCTTGGTGCCGCGGCAGAACCGACGCGCGGAAGGTGCGTCCGCAAGTGGGGCACGCCGCTGTCGGTTCCCGCGCCGCGGCGGCGGCCTCCGCTGCGATCATCTCGTTTTCCGGCGCGTCCGCAATGCTGAGGCCACCCGTCACGTCCACCGCAGCACCGCCGCGGCTGTCTGGCGGAGCCATGCCGGGCGGGTAGGCGTTGGACCAATCACTCATACCCCCTCCAGCGCCAGCGCCGACTGGTACGTCATCGAGCAGCAGCGGTGCGCCACCACCACCACTACCACCACTCACGGCGCTGCGGTTTGTTGGTGGACGTCGACCTGCTGCGGCTGTACTGCGAGGTTGAGCAGCAGCAGAAGCAGGGGGAGGTGAGGATAGGTATGCGGACTCCGAGGCGTGCCTTTCATCGTAGCTGGACCGACGGCCATCACCACCACCACCACCGCTGCTGCTGTTCGGGACTGGCTGAGACACACGAGCAGTGGAAGACGATGACACCCCTGACGGTGGGGCTTTGCTGCCAGGAGCAGGGCGGACCGCGCTCGCCTTCGCTGTCGCGCCCGTGCGGGGCTTCTTCCGGGCTGCCGCGCCGCTTGCGGAGGACGCGACGGGCGGCTCATTTGCGTAGTCGACGTCCACGTCGGAGTTCCAAGCGGGGCGGTGGCTGCTGTGGCGGCCGCTGGGGCTGCCGCGCAGTGGCGGTGCCGCCGCCGCACCACGGGCGTTCTCCTCATCCCCGTGCGGATCTGCGTCTTCGTCTTCTTCGCTGCCGTACGACGGACGTTGCGGCGGCGAAGGCGCGCTGCCGGCGGTCAACGCGTTGTTTGCTTTCGACGAGGATGCCGGGCGGCCGCCTGCTGCTGTCGGTCCTCCACCACCGTTGCTGCTCGCACCGCCATTCCCGCTACCCCCACCCTGCTGCTGCTGCCGCCGAAGGCGCTGCTGCTCGCGCTTGAAAAACGCGATGCTCGTGCGGAGGGACTCGAGGGAAATGCTGGCTCCAAAGCCGGTATTGTTGTTGCTTCCTCCACCTCCGTTGGCGCTCCTCCGGTCCGTGCTCGACGACGTCGAGGAGTTGTTCGACAGCGCCAGTAGGCTGCTCACCGACACCGCGTTCGCGCTCTGCCCGGCGCCCGGGGGGCACACCCGAATAATCTGGTTCGACAGCATTGCCCAGAGCTGCCGGGCCTGATCGGGGGTTATAATGCCCGCCTGCGAGGCCTGCTTGAAGTTCGCCTCTTTCACATACAGTACCCGCCCCCCATCCGTTGGCGAGTCCGCCCCCGCCGCTGCGGCTGCGTCGGAGCTCCCATGCGCTGACGACGGATGACGGGAGTGCGGCACGTGCGGGGGAGGGCGTGAGGAGGCGGCGGCGCCACCACCTCCGCTGCCCTGCGAGGCCGTCGGTGACGTAAGCGATGGGGCGGCCCCACCACCACCACCGCCACCGCTGACGTCACCACCCCGGTTGGGCGACAGCGGTAGCTGCTGTTGTTGCTGTTGCTGAAGGCGTTCCTCACGGAGCTGCCGTGCGCGGTCCATCTGCGCCTGGCGCTTCGCGGCGTAGTCCTGCACGAAGTCGCTCGCCGGTGTGCGAGAGTTGCTGTTGCCCCGCATTACGCTGGTGGAGAATAGAAATATATCTAGATAGATAAATAAAGAGAGGAATGTGTGTGTGTTCGCTTACGGAGTGCTTCGAAGGAACCACACTAGATGCACCCGCCCACCCACGTCAAGCGCGCGATACTGACACGTCGAGCGATGAATCTGCTCTTGGCAGAGTCGGGAGGGGGGGGGGGTGCAGTGGCGGCGAAGAAACGAAGAAACAGCACAAAAACCAAAAGAAAAGCGATCGAAGAAGGAAAAAAAAGTTTGAGGGGAGAGCGGCGGCGGCGGCGGCGGCGGAGGAGGAGGAGGAGCGTTAAGACACCAAACCCAAAAATCGTGCACAGTTGAGGGTAAAAGGGGCATCGCCACGGGGCAGCGTGTGCCGTCTAGAGCTCTCCTTCCGTTAGAGGGCAAGTCGGAAAAGGAGGTGGTGGTGGTCAAGAGTCACTAGGAAAGACCAATCAAACCAAAGACACCCTCTCGTGATGCGTTGCCAAGGAGAACGACCACGACAGCGCGTACACGTTTTGCGGTTTTTGGAGTGAGACGTCAAGGAAATAACACCCACAGAGAGGAGCCGCCGAAGCAATGGCTATGACAACCAAGAGAGAGAGAGAGAAAGAGAAAAAGAAATAAAAAAACAATCAAAACACACCCGGACACACAGAGATGACGACGGACCGACACACACGCACGCACAGAAGCGTCTTATCCTTTACTCTTGCTGATCAGAACGCCGTATATATATTTCCCCTTTTGAATGGAGATCCGTTTGCGCAGAGACATGTGTAATGCGTGTGCTTGTCGGCCGTCGTTGTACATGAATCGTACAGCTCAATGAGCTGCGATGCACAGAGAGCGAGAGGGAGAGAAGAAGATAGGAAGAGAAATCAGAGGAAAAAAGAAAACACACGAAAATAACAGGCATCACAAAGATAAGATATAAAGAAAAGCGAAGAGGACGAGAGGCTTAAAAGCCTAAGGGATCGTTGATGATCCATAATACCAACGGAGGAGGAGGGAGACCTCCCCCCCTTCTCTTCACACATACCCACCCACACAAACACACTTAAAACATGCCTCAAGAAAGCGTGCCGAGCGGCCTTCAAAGAAGGCAACAGAATCAGCGCTGCACAGCGGCGGCGGCTTCAACTCACGCTAAGGGACGTTACAACCCACAAAGCACAGCAACAGTAGAAAAAAAAGAAAAGTCTAGATGATAAAACAATACTAATAATAGATAATAATAAAAGGAAAAGAAACAAACCAACCAACAAACGAGGAAGGGAAAGGTAATTAATGTCAGGTAAATAATTGTATCCATATATATAAATATAAATATAAATATAAATATATAAATATAAATTGATGATGAAACAGGAAAGGAGGGAGAGAGAGAGTTAGTTAGAAGGGAGAATCAATGTCGGTAAAGTACAATCCAGTCAGGTTGTAGAAAGAGAAAAAGAAGGAGAGGCAACAAAACAAAAGATAATAAAAACAGAAATAGGGAAAGAGGAGAGAAAGGTTGTGCAGCGTTGCGTTGCAGCCGCTGACTGAAGAACACGGAGAAGGAGGAGGAAAAACCTCAAAAACAGGAATAAGAAGGATAGGAAGTCAAGAGTCGAAGTGATTGCACGGCATTTAGGGAAATACATAACTAGCGAGTACCTGGCATCAATGTCCCCATCAAGGCTACTCATTGTTTCTTCACTATCTAGTATCTGCCCCAATTCCGTTCTTCTTTA